CCCATTAGCCAATTGTTTCTAATTTTTATTTTTTTGATGAGGCAATTGGGGTTAAGTGACTTGCCCAGAGTCACACAGCTAGTCAGTGTTATGTGTCTGAGGTCAGATTTGAACTCAGGTCATCCTGACTGTAAGGCCGGTGCTCCATCCACTGTGCCACCTATCTGCCTCTCCATTGGCCATTTTTAATAGACTAGTAAAAGTAGTATTAGTGCCAGAGAATACCAAAGTTCTGGCAAACCTAATAGAGCTTATATTAGAGGAGACATTTTGGTTGGAAGTTAAGATTTTGAAAGCATGACAGCCACAGTCATGACCTTACTGTCCCTTTTCAGAATCAAACTCTGTCTTTGAAAAAGCCAGATGGCAAAAGAACAAAATACCAAACACTGACCTAGCATCTGGCACAAGAGAGAAACAGGGTATGTAGAGAAGAAATAATAGTGGTACCTCATGGCAGGTAGGAACCGGCAATGGCTCCTGGCTGTCCAGATGAAACCTCCATCCAATGTAATGACAGTTATGTTGAAACTCATGAAGAAAAAAAATAAATAATAGCTTAAGAATTTTTTGTATGCTACTCCAAATCAATCTTTAAAATATTACCCTCTAAATGTTTATTCTCAAAGGAGGAACCTTTGACAAAAGAAAAGAGAAAAAGGAACAGTATCAGAGAGTAATAATGGTACTTTCTGTACAGATAAGCCAGAGGTCCATAGGTAAGCTAGAGAGAAAAATAAAGGCACACTTATAAAGAGAATAATACACGGAGGAGAAAAGATATGTGGATTTAATGAGGAAATGATGATGGATTTACTCTAAGTAGCAGATTTATGGGAAGAGTTGGTAGTTATACACATAGGGACTCCGTGGTAGAAATGTGGATAATAAACCTATTCAAGATAGCCACAAGGGATGTGTTCTTAGTAATTCATATTCTGAGGATAAAGGATTATAATGTCAGTTTTGGAAGTGGGACTAAATATACTGACTTTGGGGAATTATCAGAGGAGGGAAAAAGGAATAAAACTAAGTCAAAGTATTTGGCTCTTATCAGAAACCCAGCTGAGAGGAAAGAATGTCTGGTTGTCTGCCTGAATGAGGGAATGGCTTCCTTTTAGTTCCCCCAAAGAAAGAATATTTCTTTGTACTCTGAATATATCACAGAACAGAAGAAGAAATTAATATCTTTAAAAAGTAAAATAGAAAAAAATGATTCAAAATATTTGTGATGTAGTTTCTATTTGTTCTTTTGTTAACACTAGAAGTGCAAGAATTTTTAAAAAGATTCAAATGACCAAGAAAATTTTTGTGTTCATTGACTCATCTGGTCCTTAATAGGCCAAGGTTCTGTGTTTTATTTTGTTTTCTAACTAATATCAGGGGCCTAGGAGAGAATGTAGGAGCATTTAGTCTAAGGACAGTCATATTCTTTTTATGCTCAAACTTTAAGATTTTTTTTAACCAAAATAAAGAATTCATAATAATGTCCCAACAGCTCTTGAGAATCTTGAGAAGTCATCACCATGGTAAACAAATGGCAATGCCTTTGATTCTCTCCTCTTCCTCATCCTTATTTATTTTTTTGTTCTCCGTTAACTTACCATGTTATAGACACTTACTCTTACATGCTATATGCTGCACAGCTTCAGATGTTAATATAGTTATCATACACTTTTTATGGATTGCGAATTGTAGCAAAGCTGTATCATCCTCATAATATACATGAGAAATGTTATGCCAGATATTGTCTTCTTTTAATAAACGCAGAAGCAAAAGTGCAGAGGTTTCTACATTATAACTTTACCCAAGAATATCACCTAAAACAGCTTCTTCACGATTTTCAAAAAAAAAAAAATTAAGTAGGTTGACTACTAAATGTAATAGCAGTTCTGAACTACTGGCAATATTCTGTTCAGCTTGACCTTACTAAACAGCCAAACAACTGAGTGTTCTCAGAAATATCACAAAATTCTACAATATGTCAGTTGTTAGAGACCTAGATATGAAGCAGCAAACCTTTCCCTCTTCATAATTCTCTTATTACTGTGGAGGATATCACCTTCACCTTGTTACATAAGTGTCATCCTTAACTCCACACACTCCCTCAGCTCTTATATCCAATCAGTTGCCAAGTCTTATTGTTTCTATTTTTGCACCATCTCTCATATATGCCCATGAACACTTCACCATCCTAAGTAGGCACCCATCACCTCATTTGACTGTTGGAATTGACTTCTGGTTGGTCTCTGTCTTTCAAGTTTCTACCTACTCCAGTCATCAAATTGATCTTCCTTAATGCAGAATTAACTGCATTAACCCATTCAATATAAATAGTGACTCTTTGTCACCTCCAAGGTAAAATACAAAATCTTCTCTTTGATATCCAAAGTCATGTAAGACCTGGGCCCTTTACCTTTATGTATTTATTACACATCACTAAATCCCTTCCCCCATATTCTCCAGTGACAAAGACCTCATTGTTCTTTGTCTCACCAGACATGCCATCTTCTGATTCTGCTCATTTTTATTGACTATCCCCATCACTGGAAGTCTATACTTCTTCATTGCTATTACTGATTGCCCTGCATTCCTTCTAATCCCAGCTAAAATCTCATCCCTTACAAGAAAAAAAAAAACTTTTCTAATACCTCTTCATGTTAATGTATCTCCTCTGTACATTATTTCCAATTTATCCTACATATTTTTTTTCTACATAGTTCTTTGTAGGTTGTCTCCCATATCACACTGTAAGCTCTTTGAGAGCAGAGATATTTTTGTACATTTTTTCGTATTCCCAGTACTTAGAACAATGCCTGACACATGATAAGTATTTAATAAATGCTCATTGATTTGGCTTTATAGTACTGTAGATACAGAAAAAAAATGTACAGCCGCAATGCCACATCCATACTCGATTTATTCACTTCACAAAGTATTGATATAATTACTACATCCATTCTTTGGCTATTTGGGGAAAAAAATGCTGCTCAAAGTAGGCAATAAAGAATCCAAGTTGTTCCTTGAAATTATCTACATGGTACCACTGTGAATCCTGAGACCATCCTCCTAGTTGAAAGAAGATAAGTCAATATATCACCAAAAAAAGTTTTTGAAATGAAATCTGCCATCGTAGTAAAGTTAATTTACTGCTTACTTTGATTTTTGATCTAATCAGTGTGGACCATTTTCCCTACATCAGTATGGAAAGCAGTTCATCTGTATCTTTTTTATCCTGCGTGACTTTTTTTTTTGCCTTTTCTGTTCTATACCTCTTTCATAGATTTACAAGATCCACCCAATGAGTTAGATCTGTCCACTCTTTTTTGCCTTTAAATATATTAAGAGTCCCAGAAAAGGACATGAGATGTTTACATTTATCACTTATTCTCCCAACATTTGTATGAAATAGGGAAACACTATTTTTAAAAATGGAAAGAACAGGGGATCATTTAAATAGTATTTTGAAAAAAATACTATAGGTATAGAATTTTACTATTAGTGGGACTTATCTTTGTAATAAGGGATCTATCTCCCTACAAAATCATAAGTGTGCCATGTTTATTTCCTAGATGATACCCTTCATTAATGACATCTTAATATTCCTTATAGTCTTATCCATAAAAATCTCCCAGCCAATTTGTCTTCTTCAGACTCAAGTCTAATGCCCCCTCTAACTTCACTCTATTCCCAGGAGAAGCCAAAATTGCCAGTTCTATACAAGCTTCTCTCCCCAAAAGCTACCCTCCAATACCTTCCCTAATTCTTTATTTTAGGTATGCTTCCATCTAAGTTTAATGAAGCAACAAGACTTCCAAAGCAGTGACTACCAGTGGTACACATTGCTACTAGTAGAGAGGGCTGTGGATATCTGGAAACAGAAAGTAAAATTATGCCTAAAGCTACCAGAAACACTCTACTTGGGTGCACTTTTCTCACCTCTGGAATCCCTTGCCCTACCACCTTTTGATGACTCCAAGGAGCAAACCCAGACTGATTCTGCAATGTCATATTTATGTTGGCATAGGAACACCCCAAAACACATTTCTTTGGTTAGATGGAGAGTAAATAATCTTTGCTTTTTTATTGTTCATCAACATAAAGGAAGAGAAAGAAGCAATATTTTGGTGCTTCTGGAAACTTCTTCTCATAGACTATTATATCAGCATATGGAGTTGCCTGTCAATTTTGTTAGGTAAACAACCCTTGTTTATACCTTCCAGTGTTTCTTTCCTTGAGGTTATGACCATCTACCTTCTCTACATACAAAGGGAAAAAGAACCAGTTTCATTCCAAAACACTTGGAAAAATAAAAGACAAAAAATAAATAATGTTTTAAAAAATCCATGTTAGCTTTATTAAAAGGGTCAATCTGAGGTACTGGGTAAATTTACATCACTGAAGTTCAGAGGATTCATCCCCTTTTCTCCAGATATAGTCTCATTTCTGAAGAAAGAACAATTATTCATATAGAATTTGTTCAGCTGAAATGTCATCGCTGATCAATTTTCACTAGAGCACCAATAGCTGTTCATTCTTACACTTCAAATCTACAGGGCATTTTGAAATTACATTTGCAAAAATCCTGACCAAGCACAAAATTCAACTCAGGAGCATTTCCAGTGTTGCTGTTTCCCATGTTTGGTCAGTTTCCCAAGTAGAGACGACCAAGAATAACAGTAGAATTCATTTCATCCCTTTTTGGCAGCTGTTTAACTGGAACTTAATTATGTTTCTTTCTTGTCTCCAACCTTCCCTCCAAGGTTTCTGTGATATTAGAATACCTCCTTTAAGTGTTATGAAAAGAGCATTAGAGATTTTTTCCTTGTGATTATTTCATAATGTAACATAACAGATTGTTCTGCCAGTGAGCCCACACAACTGTTTTTAATAATGAAACAAAGTTTGCTTTAATATATAAAATGGAGATTAAACATTAATTAGTCGTGGCTAAATTTTAACATTTTCCTTATGCAATGATTTCTCTAAAAATTCCTTAAGCAAGGGCAATAAGGACTTACGGTATGTACACAAAGATACTTTCTATTTATTAAAGGCCAAGGGATTATGGTTGAGTCTTTCCTAAACAGTTTCGCAATGATTTTCCTCCAAGCAATTCTCTATATTCCTCACGTGAGTTTGTTTTGTGTCCTTGTTTCAGTTCTTTATTAACAGTCAGGAAATCCTCATTGAATGACTAAGAAGGACCTTAGAAGTCTTTCTCCCTTCTGTCCACCTCCAAATCTCAGAAAATGGAAAGGAAACTAGTTAAATATCTAGGCTGACCAAGGCAGCTTCTACATATTATGGTCACTTGTGTCAATTCTTGTCATTTTTGTTTACTATTATTGGCTTGTCACAGGCACCATATCTCTGAAAATAATTGAAAATGAAAACAAACTTTTATATATGTCCTTTTTCACCTCAGCAATGTGTCAGCCTGGGAAAATGCTCTCTTTGAAAAGAAAGTAAAGCTGACATATAATTGTTGCCTTTACCCCAGCTGTTACTGACATTACATGTTGGACCTTCCTTGGAGACGCAAAACCAATTTTGATGTGACACTCTGAAAAGTACTCTACAAATAGTTCAAGGTCACAGAAAACTTGAACTAGACACTTTCAGGTAAGCTTCCAGAGAACTTTTTTTTTATGGTCATTGGAAATGTGTTTTCTAATGATTTTGCAAATTGAAGATATAATGCATAGGAAAGAAACAAGAAAAATAGCTTTAAAATATGATGTCTTTTCTTTAAAAAAATCAACACAATTTCAATTATGGGGTAGAAGTTACACATTCCTTTATCATTTGAAATGTGTAAAATTATTTGGGAATCATATCATTCACACAGTATGTGGTAAATAAATTTAAAATCATATTTGTTAGACACGATTAATATTAAATGGATTTTATCTAATAACAATAAACCCAAAATCTTTAAGTGCTTTCTAGGTGTACATGATTGACATTGTTAAAAACATCTTTACATATTACTTTTTGTTTACCAGATAAAAGGTTATGAACTTTTATTTGTTTTTAATGAACTTCTAATGACTAAAGTGTGTAGGAAATCACCATCCCCTTCCAGAAATTATCAATTGCAATTAAATGTATAAAACGGAAGTGAGCAATGCATTGAAATCTATTATAAGTGGATTTTAAAAGGTTAAAATTGAGTTAGGGTCAGTAGATGAAGGCTTTACCAAATATGGACAGGCAACATGCTCCATTTTCCCTGATCTTGTTTATTGATTTTATAGCCATGTCTCTTTATTGTCTTGTCCTAGAACTGTTCTCAGCACCAAGGACCTCACCCTGGAACATCTGGCTATCTCAATGGCTTCTCAACCTGGAATATCCCCCTCTAAGTCACTCCCCCTTCTCTCATTTGTTTGTTCCTCTTGTAGTTTCCATTTTTTAAACAGGTCTAAGTTGACCTTCATTTCCCCTCACAGTTCTATTGCTGGTTTATGGATTTCATAATACTTTCCTGTCCCCTCACCTCACTTTTTTACTCACTTTTACATTTTATCTTTCCCCAGTAGAAGGTAAGCTGCTTGAGGAATGTCTTTCTTTTTGCTTACATTTGTATCCCCAGTATTTAACAGTGTGCTTTATAAATGAGGCTTTTTTCTTCCTTCCTTTCTTCATTTCTTCCTTTCTTCTTTGCCTCCTTCCCACATTCTGTCACAACTTCCTTTCCTCCCTCCCTTCCTCCCTCCCTTCTATGCATCCCTTTTCTCCCCCCTTTCTTCCTTCTCCCTTTCCTTCCCTTTTTCCTTCTTTCTTTCCCTCAATCTCTTCCTCCCTCCCTCCCTTCTTTCCCTCCTTCCTTGCTTGCTTTTTTCCTTCTTTTCTTTCTTTCTCCTTCCTCTCACATGATCTCTGTCTAGAAAATGATTTCTCCAGTTACTAGTAGACAGATATCAGTAACTGCCATGTGTAATAGCCATAATAAGAAAGAGAAAAAAACAAACAACATTAAAAATGTTACTGAAATAGTTCACATCTTAAAATGCATCTTCTCTCAAGAAGTATACATCCTAATAGGGAGAAACAATGTAAAAAGTTAAGTACATATAGACAGTAGATGGGATGTAATCTCAGAAATGAAGGAGCTAACAATAGCCAACAAGACTGGCAAAGATCACCTTCAGAAATACTTGAGCTGAATCTTGAAGGAAGCCAAGCAAACCATCAGACAGAAGTGAAGGAGCATGAGACTAATACAAAAGCAGAGATGAGAGACAGAGTATTGTGTCTGAAGATGCACACACAAGCCACCACCAGCTCAAACTTAAAACATCTGAATTATCCTATTTCATGGAGAGAACTGAGGCTATCAAATTATTGATTCTTTAAGTCTCCTTTCTGCTCCTCAAAACTTCTTAGTATCATTACTCATTTCTGTTTCCCTTTCCTTCTGCACTGAAAGATAATCCTTCTTCTTAACAATGCCAGTTCCTCAGTATTTGTAATTCAACTCAGCTCCTTCTTGTCTCATCCTGAGCCTTGTTCCAAAAATCTCCCTTTCTTGATGTCCCACATAACACAGTCCTCTATATTCTTCCCCTCTTCTCTACTATTTCACTTAGTGATCTCATTAGGTCTGATGGATTCAATTATCATCACTATACTGAAGATTCTCAAATATATTTATCCAGCTCTACCACTCTGATGACCTTTAGCTTTGCAGCTCCAACTGCCTATTAGACATTTTAAAAAGTATGTCCAGTTGACATCTCAACCTAAAGATGTCCAAAACCAAACACATTATCTTTCATCAAAAACTCTTCCCCCTTCCAACTTTCCCTATTACTGTTGAGGCCACCATCATCCCCCTAGTCCCACAGGTTAATAAGTTGTGTGTTGTCCTTGACCCCATAATTTTATCTTCTATTGTTTTGAATAAAAAGTCCAAGAGATATACTTTCTGGATAATTAATAATTAATTCTATAAGTTATATATTATATAACAATATAATATTTTATGTTATATGTATATAATCATAAATTATATAAAAATAAGAAATAATAGATTGAGGTCAGTGTTTTTATCTAATAAACCAAAGATGAACTTTGGAGGCCTCTCTATGCTTAAATACCCTTGGAAGAGTGAGTTTTCCTGACAGGCAAAAAATCAATTTTTATTGGTTAACAATTAATGTGAGAATTACTATTATTAGGAGAACTGGGCTTATTGAAATGAGAATTTGGGCAGGGGCAGGGGAGGAAAAACAAAACAAAACAAAAACCTCAGATTCTGATCATGTCTTTCTTGGACAAAAAGCCTCACCTCCACACCCAGATCATTCTGCCTCTAGCAGTTTATATAAAAGGATCTATCCTCCACAAAGACAACTTATATAGTTGAACAATGAGCCAGAATTCACCTAGATATGGTGGTCTTTACCCTTTAATTAGAACACAGATTTCTAAGTTGAGTGGTGTCCTTCCCAAGATTAAACTCAATCTTATCATCAGCCCTGTGGTTCAGAGGCTGCCTAGGCCTAGTAACTAAAAGAAGAAATGGGTGGGGGTGAACACCACTGATTCCCCCCCACACTCATATTAATTGGTTATTAAAAATTTCTCTCACTATATCCAATTTATTAGCAAGGCCTGTCAGTTTCACCTTTTCAATGTCTCTAATAAGCTTCCTCCTTTCCTAAATTACTGCCACCATCCTGATACAATCTCCCATATCCTCATGGATGTGATTGGTTGGTCTTCCTGCCTGAAGTCTCTCTCCACTCTAATTCATCTTCCATTCAGCTGTCAAGGTGAATTACCAAATGTACAGGTCCAACTATGTCATCTGCCCTACTCAATAATTTCCAATGATTTCCTAACACTTCTTGGATCAAACATAAAAAAAACCTCTTTGGTATTTATAGCCATTCATAGACTATCTATCCAATTCTAACTTTCCAGTCAATTTATATTCTTACCTCTTCTATGTACTTTTTTGATCCAGTGACAATTGGACTCCTTGCTGCTCTTTGAACAAGATACTCTCTCTTTTGGTTTCAAATATTTTCATTGGCCATCCCCCATATCTGAAATTCTCTATCTCTTCATCTTGACCTCCTGGATTCCGTGGCTTCCTTCCACTCCAGTTAAAATCCCTCCTTTTACAAGGAGCTTTTTCCAATCCCTCTTAATTCTTCATATTTACCCTGTGTATAGCTTTTTTGACACAGTTGCTGGCATACTGTCTCCTTATTACATTATGAATTATTTTAGGGCAGAGGCCATTTTTTCCCCTTTCTTTGTTTTTGTAGCACTTAGCACAGTGCCTGAAATATATTAAACCACTTACTGACTTAATAAGTGACTGACTGACTAACTAAAAGCACCATGACAATGAAACTATGGAGAGCCTTGGCCTAACCTCCATACTTTTATCACTAAGCAATCATAGATAATCTTTGGATAATTAAGATTTTGTGTGTGTTTGTGTGTGTGTGTGTGTGTGTAATTATTTTAAATATCTTCTTTCTTTGACTGAATATAGCTTTTTTCATTTTTTTTTTTTATTTTTGGAGGCAATTGAGGTTAAATGACTTACACAGCTACTAAGTGTCTGAAGTTGGATTTGAAATCAGGCCCTCCTGACTTCAGGGCCAGTGCTCTAGATCCACTGAGCCACTTACTTGCCCTTGAATACAGCTTTCATTTGTTTTCCAAAACAATTAGAGATTAAAAGAATCATTTCTATAATTTCTGTACTTACCATTCATATTTCTTATTTTTTTCTCTATCATCCCACAACAGCAATTCTTCCTTCTTTTCTTTCAAAATGTATTCCAAATTTTACCACCTCCATGAAGTATACCATAGTTTAGTGGAAAACAAAATAATAATCTTTGGCCCATGGAAAATAACTGTTCTTCCTCTAGTTGAAAAAAAACATCAGGTTACAAAAAGATATGTTTATTATTTATCCAGATTATTTTCTTTACAATGTATACACTAGAAAGAGGTCAAATGTTATGGCAATTAATCACATGTTAATCCCTATAGATTGAGAACTGAATTTGATTTTAGATATAATCTAGCCCAAACCCCTCTATAAAGTAAGCTCCATTAAGAATAAGAAATCTTCATGTGATCAGAGCTAATAAATGGTAAAGGTGAGATGTGAACTTAGTTTCTCACACTTCAAAACCAGCAATCTTTATACTGTCAAGATTTGTCTCTCAAAATTTCTAGTACGTATATATCTAGTCAATCATTTGATATTTTTGTTGTTATTTAGAATTAAAGCAACTAAACCAACATGAAAGAAAACAGTTCCTGAGATGTTATTTTTTTAAATTATTCATTGTGAGACATTTTACAAATATCAACAGGATAAAATTTTCTACCACTCATTCCCAACAATTCACATTACACTCTTTAATATTCTCTAGGTTTTAAACAAATTTCATTAGTTATTGTCTCTCACAAACTGCACTCTCCTTCAATTTCTGTTCTTTACATAGGCTGCCTCCTATACCTGGAATGAACTTCCTTCACCTCTCTACCTCTTAGAATTCCTAGCCTTCTTCAAAATTTGGTTTAAACATAACCTTCTCCAATGAGGCCCTTCCCTGATTCCTCCAGTACAGCATACTTCCACC